GAAAAGAAATATTTTAGGTAGCATCCCGAGACATGTTTCGCAAAATAAAACGTAAATTTTAGAAAAGAATTTGCGAAAATCGCACTCTGATTTTAGTAAGCTAGCGGGGTGTTACAAATTGGTATCAGAGCACATTTTCGTGTATCTGAATACTTTCTAAGTCAGAAATTTTCAGAAAAGACCCGACCACGCTACGCTCACGCCTCGCCGACTATCAGGTAAGTGCTGAGTTACAGTTTATGTATATTTAAACGAATACTTACGTCTATGCTCAGTAAGAGGGTATCAGATATTTGACCCTAGAAACCAGTAAGATGCTCGAGTATTTTCAGAACCTGGTCGATTGTCTCAGTCACTTTATAGTTCGACTTTAGTATTCTCGGGTTATATAGCGACTCGTCAAGAAATTGGTGTACTTAAACAGTTAGTCAGTTAATCTCTTATGTTATTTAATCATGTTAAACATTTCAATGTTTAGATGCCTCCTCGTAGAGATCCAGAACACCAAGAACGTCCTCAGGCCACAGTAGTCACACAGTTTCGCGACTACCAACCAAAAAAGTTTTCCAGCCATGGAGATCCTCGTATAGTAGATGAATGGGTTCAGGGCCTCGAGGTGATTTTCGAGGTCATGGACTGCCCTGATCGTTACCGTATGTTATGTGACTCTGGTAGAATGCCTACTGGAGTATGCGTCCCGGCGAGAAAGACGGTTGTACGTGGAACCAATTCAAGGAGCTGATCCGAGAGAAGTGTTATCCCTCGTATTACCGAGCAGACATGGAGCGCCAGTTCTTGGCACTCACCCAGGGTACTCGTTCTGTTGACGAGTACGAGAGAGAGTTTACCCGTCTCGGAGCTTTTGTACCTGATCTTGTGGGTACGGAGGCGCAGAGAGCCCATCGATTTACTGACGGACTTCGCCCAGCAGTCCGCCCCAACATCGTAGGTCACGGCGTCCAGACCTACGCCCGCACAGTTGCCATTGCACAAGAAGTCGATGCCAGTATCCGACGAGAAGCCGCCCAGACGTCATTCCAGCCAGTTGCTCAGCCACCAGCCCAGCCCAAAGTTGCCCAACCATCAACAAACAAGAATAAAAGGAAGTTCAAAGGGGGTCCAGACGATCGCAGAAACCGCCAAAGACAGAAATCAATACCAGAATGCCCAACATGCGGGAAATACCATCGTGGAGAATGCCTCGTAGGCCAGAATGTTTGTTTCTTTTGCCGCCAGCCAGGCCACATCAGCCCCAACTGTCCTGAACGACTGCAACAACAACCTCAACAACGTCAACCACTACAGCAACTTAAACAACAACAGCCCAGGCAGCAGCCACCACGACCCCAGCAACAGCCACGCGGCAAACAGCAAGCCCACGTCTTTGCAGTTGACCAGAGGGAGGCCGACCAGCACCCAGGTACCATGTCCGGGATGATTATTCTTAATGATGTGCCTGTCTATGCCTTATTTGATACCGGAGCGACCCATTCTTTTATATCACGTCGATGTCTTGAAGCTATTGGGGTTCGTTCCACTACCGCTGTCGATCCTCTCGAGGTGAGTTTAGCCTCGGGACGAAAGATAGTGACTGACGCTAGATCCACCGATCACAGCCTTTCCATCGGCGGCCGTATTCTGATTACTGATGCTTATGTTATCGAGATGAGGGATTTTGAACTCATACTAGGTATGGATTGGCTAACACGTTTTCACGCAGATATCCGATGTCACGACCGGGAGATTACTCTTTATCTTCCGGGAGATGATCAGATCACTTATTACGGCTCCAGGACTCGTACTCTACCCCATGTTATTTCTATGGCGAAAGCCAGAAAGATCCTTCGACGGGGTGATTGCCAGGGTTACCTTGTGAGCTTCATTGGAGATGAGCGAAAGGCACGTTCACCTATGACATTCCTATTGTTTGTGAGTTCGTGGACGTGTTTCCAGACCAGCTTCCCGGAGGTCCACCTAGCCGACAGGTGGAATTTTCTATTGATCTTATCCCTGGAGCTGGACCCGTTTCGAAGGCACCGTACAGAATGGCGCCTAAAGAGTTGCAGGAATTAAAGACCCAAATTCAAGAGTTGCTGAATCTCGGTTTTATTCGACCGAGCATTTCTCCTTGGGGAGCACTAGTCCTTTTTGTCAAAAAGAAGTACGGATCCATGCGTATGTGTATCGACTACCGGGATCTTAACCGGTTGACGATCAAGAATAAATATCCGCTTCCCAGGATCGATGATTTATTTGATCAGTTGAGGGGTGCCTGCGTGTTTTCCAAGATTGATTTGCGTTCAGGCTACCATCAGCTGAAAATCAAGGAGTCAGACATACCTAAGACAGCTTTTCGTACGAGATACGGTCACTTCGAGTTCGTGGTTATGCCGTTTGGCCTCAGTAATGCCCCGACAGTATTCATCGACTTGATGAACCGTGTATTTCATCCTTTTCTCGACCAGTTCGTTATTGTCTTCATTGACGATATTCTTATTTATTCCAAGAGCCAGAAGGAGCACGAGGAGCACCTGAGGGCTGTTCTTTCGACCCTTAGACGTGAGAAGTTATATGATAAGTTCTCCAAGTGCGAATTTTGGCTTCAGCGAGTGGCTTTTCTTGGCCACATTATTACTCAAGAAGGTATCGAAGTTGATTCTTCCAAAATTGCTGCAGTTCAGAATTGGTCAGCACCAAAGAATCCGTCCGAGGTTCGTAGTTTCCTCGGCCTTGCAGGTTATTATCGTAGATTTATTGAGGGGTTCTCGAAGATTTCCCTCGCTTTATCTCAGCTGATGAGGAAGTCTGTAAAGTTTGAATGGACAGACCGTTGTGAGTCGAGTTTTTAGGAGCTGAAAAGGAGGCTTACGACGACACCGGTGTTGACTATTCCAGATCCTTCTCGGAGCTTCACCATCTATAGTGATGCTTCAAGGCAGGGTTTGGGATGTGTACTTATGCAAGATGGCCAGGTCTTTGCTTATGCTTCACGCCAGCTTAAATCACATGAACAGAACTATCCGACGCACGACTTGGAATTAGCTGCAGTTGTTTATGCCCTTAAGATTTGGCGACACTACCTATATGGCGGTCGATGCAAAATTTTTACCGATCATAAGAGCTTACAGTATATCTTTACTCAGAAGGAGCTCAACATGAGACAGAACTGTTGGTTAGAGCTCGTCAAGGATTATGATTGTATGATTCAGTACCATCCGGGAAAGGCAAATGTTGTTGCTGATGCCCTAAGCCGCAAGGTGAATGGTGACTTGACATACGTTGTTACTCAGCAGAGCCAGTTGATTCAGGAGTTCGCCCGGATGCAGATTCAGGTGATTGATGCACTTCCTACAATCAGTACGGGGAGTGTGAGTTCTATGGAGGTTCAGCCGACGCTGAGGGAGAGAATCCGGCAAGAGCAGGCTTCCGATGAGTTTATTCGTACGATTGATGCCAAGGTTCGTGTCGGAGGCGTCGAGGGTTTTCACCGAGGCACTGATGGGGCCTTAGAATTTCGTGGCAGGATTGTGGTACCGAAAGTCGAAGCATTGAAAAAGGAAACTTTATCTGAGGCTCATACCGCACCCTATCTAGCCCATCCAGGAAGTACAAAGATGTATCATGACCTGAAAAGGTCGTTTTGGTGGCGAGGATTGAAGAAAGACGTAGCCGACTTTGTAAGGAGATGTTTAACCTGTCAGCAAGTTAAAGCCGAGCACAAGAGTCCCATAGGACTTCTACGACCACTGCCGATTCCGAGGTGAAAGTGGGAGGAGGTTACGATGGATTTTGTCACGGGGTTACCGAGGTCGTCAGAACATCACGACGCTATCTGGGTCGTGGTCGACAGATTGACTAAGGTTGCTCATTTCTTGCCAGTATCGATGAGTATGTCTTTGGATAGGTTGGATGAGATTTATGTCCGTGGGATCGTTCGACTCCATGGAGTACCTGTTACTATCGTGTCAGACAGAGATCCCAGATTCACTAGTAGATTCTGGAAGAGTTTACACGAGGCGATGGGTACGAAGCTAGCATTCAGTTCAGCCTACCATCCTGTGACTGACGGACAGACAGAACGGACTATACGGACACTGGAGGATATGTTGCGCGCTTTGGTGATTGACAGGGGTGCTAAATGGGAGTCGTTATTGCCGTACGTCGAGTTCGCGTACAACAACAGTTATGATTCTTCTATTCAGATGGCTCCTTATGAGGCACTATACGGTCGTAAATGCCGTTCCCCTCTTTATTGGGACGACGTCGGTGAACATCGAGTACTCGGTCCGAAATTGATTGAGGAGATAGCAGAACAAGTCGAGTTAATCCGGCAGAGACTCAGAACAGCTCAGAGTAGAATGAAGTCAACCGCCGATCATCATCGACGAGATATTCAGTTCGAGGTTGGCGAGCACACTTTTCTCAGAATCAGTCCATTTCGCGGAGTTGTTCGATTTGGGAAGAGAGGGAAGTTACACCCTCGGTTCATTGGCCTGTTCGAAGTACTTGAGCGAGTGGGCGATGTTGCGTATCATTTAGCCTTACCTCCCGAGTTATCCAGTGTTCATAATGTCTTCCATGTATCCATGTTACGCAAGTACGTGTGCGACCCCGATCATGTTATTCCTCATAATGATATTGAAATTCATCCAGACTTATCTTACGAGGAGCGACCGGTAGCTGTGTTGGACCGACAGGTTCGACGGCTCCGGAAGCGTGATGTTCCCCTCGTTCGTATTCAGTGGGATCGCCACGGAGCCACTTGGGAGCAGGAGGCTGACATTCGCGCTCGTTTTCCCGACTTTCAGTTTTGATGTATATATCTTTCATGTACATATATATGTTTTGTTTTATATTTCTGAGGACGGAAATATTTTAAGGGGGTTAGATTGTAATAACCCAACTTCTTATTAATAAAAATGATGTATTTTCTTTTATTGATTCCGTTCATTTTCAGCGAATACGTTCGACGTTAAGTCGAAAAGTTAATTCGGTTAATTACTAACCAAGTTAAAATCGATAATTAATTTCCGAACCGTTTATTTTATAAATGGACATCATTAATTGGGATTAATTATTAAAAGTTAAGAATGTTCAGAATTAAGTTTAAAGTCGAAACCAAAGTTAAGTTGTAAAGGCACAAAGTGCACCGAGTATGCACGCATACACGCACATTGCGCATAGCCATGCGTGTAGCTGCGCACGCGAACGCGCAGCGCGCATCACCGCGCATAGCGCATAGCGCGCGCGTCACTAAGCTATTCTCATCATTAACTTATATTAAGCCAAACATCATGATCAAGCTAAGCAACCCCAAAATTGTCTCCTTAGTAATTACCGTGAGAGTTTCTACCAAAGATAAGTTTATGCACAAGTTGCTAGTGCTTAGTCACTTATTTGCTTGGACATGTGGCTCCATGTTAAGCATCATGTGATGACTAAGCCTAGTGTTGGGACGCCACCTAGCTCTCCCTTATGCCACGTAGGTGATGACAAGGCGTAGGTTTTGCCACCAAACCGTGCGGTGAAAGCAAGTGGCGTGACCTCATTTACCCTCACTTAAGCATCACCATTCACCTCCTTTCATTTTATCTATTAATATAGCAATTGCCGTGAGTTTTTCCCATGCATTTCATGCAAAAACCGAGCCCTCTTCGGCAAGTAATAGAGAGAAAAATAGTAAGGAAAATATTGTGGAAAAATAGTACAAAAATAGCTAAGGAAAGAGGAAGCAAAGGGGAAGCAAGAACGTACCCAATCAAGCACTAACACGCACGTAAGCTATCGTGCAATCCTCGACCGAACGGAAGGGTATATATTCTTTTATACTCTTTTTATATAGTTAAGTTCATTTTAAGAAGATCATGTCGAAGTCATGTTGTTCGGTCCAAAATTCTTAGTAAAAGTGACCTCGGAGGTGCTATGTAAGCCCTCCCGAGTGATTTCAAAATAGAACCGGCAAGTCCCGAGTAATCTATGTATTTTCCGTCATTTTAAGTTGAAACATAATCAGTTATGTATGGATTTCCGAAAAAAGTAGCCGGACGGTCGGCGAAATGCCGACCGTGATGCCTACCGCGCACAGCGTGCGCGCAGGCGCGCCCGGCAGGCCCAGCGAGTACGCAGGCAGCGTCCAAGCGCCCAGTAACGCATACGCGTGCCCAGT